CGATTCTGTAGATCATGCAACAAATCGAAGACCAAATTAATGAACAACTTATGAACTTCCATACCAAGCGCATGGAGTCGGAGTTCTATTGCACCGTTTACTATCCGGTAAAAAGAGAAATTAACACGGAAAATACCACTGATTATGAACTGCTCTTGACAAATCCAATGTGAATAGTTACGGTCACTGTAGACGCTGAGGATTTGTTTGTGGCACCTGTAATAAATGAAAAAATTCTAAAAAAATATAAATCTGTAAATAACGAATGTATTTTAAAGTATATTTGCATGTGTATAATGACTGCATACATTCTATGTAACAGACGAGATCTGCCCTTTAAATACTATAAATTTCAACAAAATACCTCTAACCAAAAACAGTAAGTTGTGTAATAAAATAATGTCTTAAATAATGGAAATCTGGAAACACTGCCTCTTATTTTCTTTATCTAAAATATTAGTGCCTGTTTGAACCGTCCCCTTAACGGTCCCTTTATTCAAACGTGCAGTCGAGTTTGACGTGAGTCGAAATCCGACAGTTATCTGACATTTGCGTTTCAAACTTTTTCGAGTAGAACTATCAAAAAAAAAATCAACACAAATTTAAATGAATTTATTTTTAACTTTCGTGAAATGTTAATCGAATTTCTTCTATTCGTCAAAATTTGCTGTAACAAGAAAGAAAAAATCGCAAAATTTATTAAAAATATTTGGCAGTTCATCGCATAATGGACACAGATAGAAAGCATTGCAATCGGCCAACATGTGGCAATAAGAYGAAATGTGCCCAATCGAATAAAGATGCCAAACGATCTCCGATGAYTTTRTGYAGACCMGGAGCTGAGCCGGCCAAGGCTGCTACGCCCAACGTTGGCAATTCGACGCAGATATTATTTGTTGATTCGAACTTCACGGAAACTCCTAGTGAGTATGACACCTTCTATGATTGCTATAGCGATGTTGAAATAAGTCAGACAAAAGCTGTGGTGTCTTCAATGTGTGGCCTAAGTGTGCCACCGCCTCCTGTAAAAGATTCTCGCATGTTTCGCGATGCACTGAAACAAGTTATTCTCACTGCTCAGACGCTCTTGGTCGATTTCGACAGAGGCGGTCGCAAGGAGCGTAGAGGGTGCGGTTCGCGTTGTCGATGTGATGTGCGCAACATTAAACCACATACACAAACCGTACAGCTGGAGGTAACGGCAAAAGTCGCTACAAATAAATCGTCCACACCGCAAAATATTCGCATCGATCCGATCACATTTACAATACCACTGAAACTACACGTACAGGGACAACACCAACACAACATACCATACTCGGTGTCACAGCAATCAAATGAATTTAGGAAACCGCCGCCGCCGGCTATGCTCGACCGGGATCCAATACCGAATATGTTTGCCGCGATGGAGCCAATACGCACAGCTATAATTACAGCCCCTCGACAGGAAATAAACAGTAAGACGGCATAAAAAAGATCATGCTTTAACTAATCGTAACTTTTGTTAGGTATACCGATGGAAGGAAGTGGACCAGCATTTGATTTTCAATCAGCTTTATTACAACAAATGGTTGGTATCCCACCGGGTTTTCTGCAATTACCGTTACCTGGCGCTGAAGCTTTTACAGCACCGCCTCCGTCCAAGGGAGTCTCGTCAAAAGTACAAATTCAAGTTSCGCCGCCACCACCACTAATGACATTAGGCGGACCAGATGAAACCACGACGGTAAAAGCGAAAAAGACATGTAAAGGAACTTGCTCAGTGAGACGTCAACAAGTGGCTTCGGCTGAAGCATTTCTATCACCGTCTTTAGCTCCTGTTACTAAAGGACCATTTCTGACAACAATAACAACGTCGTCGGTACCTTCTGTGGGAGCAGGTAAATCACCTCAAGTATCGGAAACAAGAAGTCAAGGCGTATGTGTACTGTGCGGCCGTGGAGGTGAACAGCCAAATAAGCAAATGGATGCTTCTCAAAGAGCTCCTTGTGGAGTGTGCTCGATAGGAAAGTTTGTTATGCCACAGCCGCAACCGGGAGAATTCCCCCGTTCCATACAGAAAACGGGTACATTTGGTGAATATTCACGCTGTGATAAAACTACGGAATCGTTGGTGGTACTTGTTCCTCCAATAATGCCCAAGTCTGCGGTTAGAACGGGTGCTGTGGTATCCTCAAATACATGTCCCTTTGGTAGTCTTCAGAAGCAAATGGAAATGCAGCGTCCGTATGGTGCTGCGTGTCCCATAGGAACATCACTGTTGAAACCACAGCAACAGGATAATCAAACAAACGTTGAGAAACAACAACATGATGTCAAACGTCCCTTGAGAGGACCTTGTGGAATGTGTTCGACTGAGGTTCCGGCACTACCACCATTTGATGAGCCTTTATTTAAATCAAAAGGACCATGTGGAGTATGCTCAAAACCTAAGCCAGCAATTCAAAATACTCAAGAAGAAAAAGTTCGTCCATTAACAACTCCTTCCGAGCATATTAAGCCTAAAGGAATATGTTCAAATCGGCAGGAAAACCCTTGTGAAATTTGTCCAAAAAAATCAGCGGCTGCAAACGAGTTTGGTAATCAGCCGTGTGGAATTTGTTCAAAAGCTGTTGAGGTAACGGTGAAAGCTGAAAAAATTCCATGTGGAATTTGTTCGAAGAAGTCAACGGCTCCTATAGAGGTTATGAATGCGCCGAGTGGAATTTGTTCAAAAGCAGTTGACGCAGCGATAAAAGGTGAAAAAMCTCCTTGTGGAATTTGTTCAAAGAAGTCAATGGCTCCAATGGAGGATACAAATGTGCCTTGTGGAGTTTGTTTACAAATGGAAAAACCTCCTTGCGGAATTTGTTCGAAGAAGTCCACCACTGCAATGGATTCTATAAAGCCATGTGGAGTTTGTACAGAATTGGAAAAACCTCCTTGTGGAATTTGTTCGAAGAAGTCCACGACTGCAGTGGATTCTATAAAGCCATGTGGAGTTTGTACAGAATTGGAAAAACCTCCTTGTGGAATTTGCTCCAAGAGGTCGGAGGCTCCAATGGAGACGAAAACTTCGAAAGTACCTTGTGCTATTTGTTCAAAAAGGTCAGCGACTCTAACTGAAGTTGTCATAGGGCCTTGTGGAGTTTGTTCAAAATCGGTAGACGCACCTGCGAAAACAGGAAAAGCTCCTTGTGGTATTTGCTCGAAAACGTCAGCGGCGCCAATGGAGGTTGTGAAAGGGCCATGTGGAGTTTGTTCTAAATCAGTAAAAGCCACCGTGAAAACAGAAACAGCACCTTGTGGTATTTGCTCTAAAAGGTCAGCTGGACCAATCGCAGTTGTGAAAGGACCTTGTGGCGTATGTTCAAAAGCAGTGGAAGAACCCATAAAACCTACAAAACCTTGTGGTATTTGCTCAAAGGGCATAACAGCACCGTTGGAGGTTGAAACAGGACCATGTGGAATATGTTCTCGGGGAGTTACTCCATTTGTTATTGAGGAAATAGGACCATGCGGAATTTGTTCAAGAGGAGYCGAGTCTGCTGTTACACATGATAACTTATCTGCTCCAATGCAAGAAATACTGGGACCATGCGGTATATGTTCACAACTGGTAAATGGTCYCCCGACGGTGAAACCCGAAGAAACAGAAGGGCCTTGTAATATATGCAAAAAGGGACCAGCGAAACCAGATTCTCGAGATATTTGTGGAATTTGTAAAAAACTGCGTGCTCCTGAAAGCCAAGCAATGTCAGCCGGAGCTCCCTGTCAAATATGTGGTCAAGGACCAACAACGTCTTCAGCTGGAAGAACTTGTGGAACGTGTAATTTTACACCCACTTCACCGTCAARTGGAAATAAATCATGTGGATCTTGCTTGGTAGCGCCACCCAAATCCTCGAACATTCGAACATGCGGTACGTGTATGTTACAACCTCCAACCAGAAGTGGACGAACTTGCGGCACATGTATGATTATATCTACCCCAGAGGCTATGGCTGAAATATCACCAAAAGTAGAGTCTGTCGTCGAACATCGTGTATATAAGGCATTACCACAACACAGAGATATTCACATTTGTTCGCCGTGTCGTTATGATCCGAGTCCACTAATTGACGAAGAAGGCAACGTATTTTGTCCACATAATTGTGGTTGTTGCTTATGCCCTTGGCGAAAACGTGCCACGGACAGCCAAATCGATCAAATAAAACATGAAAAAATCAAAGTTTGCAAATGTCGTATGAAGGGTTCTATATTTGCGGATTACACATCACGAGCTAAATGTAGCAATACATCCTACTTTGATTGTTGCCCATGCCGCGAAAGAGCGGAGGCAAAATACTTGGAAATGACTGGTGAAGAGATGTGGAGTCCCGACGACAAACTGAGAGAGCGAGTGCGCGGCGAACCCGTTAATTTGGAAGATGTGGTGGAATACAAACGCACGAGCACGCAATAGTTTCCGGTTGCCTAAGGATAGCTCAGAAACATTCAAAATTTGTCTTGAATTACAAATAAAAATATAAAAAAAAAAAAATAAAAAACAAATATTAACACATAAATATGTAAAAACACTAATTTGAATCGAGAATATGGCGTTGTTGAGACAATGTTAAATAAATTGTTCAGTTTTAGAACTTGAAATTGAAAAGAGTCTAATTTCTACAAGTTCTTGCAAGAGGTTTCAGAGAAAAGAGTCTAATTTCTACAAGTTCTTGTGGGAGATTTCAGATCCAGAAGTGGGTCTCATATCAAACTCAAACGATTACCGTTAGCGGAGAGTTATAGAATTTCCAATTTGTAGAAATACGTAATCGAAATTACCCCTCTAAACCATTTTCGATTATTACAACTACCTTTTGTTTTTTGTTTTTTCTTTGACAAGCTCGGACGAAATTTTGAAATTAAAATTATTGAAACAATTCGTAGATTTTGTCGAAATATTTTCTGTTATCTAATTTGCGTTTTTTGGCGACTTGTCTTTTGTATTTCTTTTCCATTTCTAGGCACTGCAGAGAAGTGCTCCCAAACTGATACTCACAGAGATAACGCACATTTAAGCGGCACCCAAACCATCCAACTACGTATAGAACCCCATGCACAGAACGCAGCGATGTCCTGCATCAACTATCCGTCTAATTATCGGGTAATTATGGAAACACCCATATCCACCATCAGTAATCAGCCAACAATAGCGGAGCAGCCGTTAACTCCGGTACAATGTTCCTGTCAACGAACTTTCCAACAGCAAAACCAACATCATCAATCGTCATATCCACCGCCGCAGACTAMGCAGTCAACACAACAGCCGGCAAATGCAACGCCGCAGCAACAAATACAACAAATACAACAATTGCACCAACAGCAGAAGCCATCACTTCAACAACAACAGCAGCAGCAAATGCAATTGTATCAGCAACAACAACMACAACAGCAATTGCAACAGTTTGTAAACTGCTTAAATCAACAGCCTGTTGAGCAAGCTTCGGCCAGCAAATCCAGTCAGCAAGATTCGCAAAATTCACAAGCTTCTACTGTAACAACAGCCGGTCTTTTCAGCAAAGCCTATTGCATTCGCTCGACATCAGAATCAGGTGGCCAACTAAGCTGTCGCTGCCCATTTGAAATTTCGATATCCTCGGCACATCCACCRGCAAGGCCGTCTTTTGAAGTACGTTTACCTAGTGGCATGGCGTCGTCAAACTATAGCGGTAGAAACAACTTGAGTGAAGAAGAGTTCTATTCTCTGAGTTCGGCATCTTCAGATCGGGATGATTGCATGCCATCGGCAGCGATCAAAGGAAAAGCTAAAAGTGGTAGTAAAACAAAGAATCGMTTTGCAGACTGCGAATGCCCGYCATCAGTACAAGAGAATAAGACCAAGGCGAGTGCGAACGCGAACGCGAACTCGAATCCTCCACGAAATGTAGCTATACTGCAATTGCTGCGCGAAGTCGTACAGTTAATCAATCAGGGTGACGAGAACGGTACTGGCTGTGGTTGTGGCGTTGCAACAACGAAAATGCGCAATATCGGCGCACTTGGTTCAGAAGAATCGATGGCCGATAATGGTCCATTCAATTCYGGTTTTAAAATAACATTCACACCCAGCCGTAAAGGTACCAGTCCAAATCAATCGATTGCTCATTCGGAAATRTCTGAGCCACAACCTGTAGGTCAGCCCGTTAATATACCACTACAGTTGCCATGTAATCTCATAATCACACCAAACTTACTAACTTGTGCACCTTGCTCACCATGTGTACCTTTGTCTAATGTGGSAWTSCCACCGCCRCAGAAGATGCAAATCACTGCTGGATCCGAAGCGCCCATAAAGTCTTTGAAGAAGGTAAAGGTTGGCGAAAAGAATACAGAAGGCTATTGCGGCTCTAAGGGCATGCCCTGTGGTTGCATAGGCGATCTGGAGCTAATCGAAGAGATAGCGACACTTGCGCTCGCTGCAGACCCCAAAAATCGCACTGAACCRTCTAGTCAGCCTTGCGAGGAAGATAGTCGATATGGTGCAGGCGCAACTTTTGATATTAGTCCGATTGTATGTGGCAAGGGTTGCCCTGAAGAATGCACCTGTAAGCAGCCATGCCTTTGTCCGGTACACGGCTTCTACGAACCGACTACCATGCTGGATGACGAAGAATGCGAATGCATAGACGTCGATGATACTGGAATAGTCACAGAACCGAGTCAATCGCAGACCCACGTCTCGGCCGCACCATCCGCCACTGCCAGTCAGCGTACGAACCAAACGAACAAAACGAAGAGTGATTGTACCGAATGTAGCTGCTGCCATTGTCAGGCGATGCGTGACAAACAAAACTGTTCCACCATTGCCACTCAGAATCAGGCCAAGGATCAATGCAGTTGTAGTGAACTAGTACGTACGATATATCTAAATAAGCAATTGAAACTGTTTTTAAGATCATTATGTTATATAATATGTGTATATTTTATTTCACAGCGATTCTTTATCGATTCCATAATAATGGATCTGGATGCCATGGAGCAAGCGCGACGCAAGAAAAATGCCGAACAGGTAATTACTTATGAACAAAGCAATCGGAGAGGTTTAAACAATCGCATTTCCATTGAAAACGAGTACACGTGTAAGAGTCGGTCATCTGTTCTGTTTAGGTTTCCTCGGGTAAAAAACTGGGTTTTTTCAAAAAAATKTTCTCACATAAAAAATTAAATGTTTTATTACATTTTTTTAATGTTACAAACATACACTATTAACAACGAAATTCTGTAATTTTTGTAAAAAATATTTGAAACTCGTTCATTGCGACGCCGGTGACCTCGTAAAAAAGATGCGCCTGCGTCGACAGGATGACTCCTTACAGGATCATCTGAAGGGAAAAAATACGTGTTTTAGTTAAAAGCTTAGCCTGAAACTTAGACGAAGGAAAGAAGAATTGTATCCCAAAGATCTGTATAAAATTTCATGAAGTTCGGTTAAGTAGATCTCGGGAAATCTTACCAACTGGCTGCAAAAACACAGTTTCGAGAAAAAGCGCGTTTAAAGACGGCGGACTTAACCTAGTTAGCCTCGAGCGCACAAGTTCTCAAGGTTGTATCTCCGAAACTGTTACCCGGATCAACTCAAAAATTTAGAACAATATTGTAGTGGTGTTCAAAAATTAAAAAATTAGAATAAGTGTAAAAATCATTTTTTTGTTTTTGAATCCCGTAAACCCATGTAACCTTTTAAATTCTTATTGATTGAACTTCACTGTTAACAAATGTATTGTTGTTTTTTTTTTATTTCATTTTTATTTATATTTTAGAATACAACACCCACACGTGGTAGGATCTGCCCGCGTCAAAGCTTCCCCGTTACAATCACAGAAGTCTCCGACCTAGGCATCTCTTCGCTCTACGTCAAATGGGTGATTCACGACTGCTGTGGAATTGGCGGCTATGAGGTAGAGTAACATTTTGTAGAATCAAATAAATCATACTGATAAYCACTCTATTTGTGCGGCGCAGATTTACGTCGACGGTTATTTAACGAATCGTTATTTCCACTGCAATCACGAAGCTGCTGTGATTTGCGATATCGATGTAACGAAGGCGCACAAGATAGTGCTAGTTGCACAGCCGAAGCAAGCCGACTGCAGCTGCGGTGACAACATGGAGAACAAGTGCAARGAGTTGATGCGTAAGGGCGATGCCGATAAAATGGACAAAACGAACGTGCCACCTTCGGCACTCTGGGTGCCCAGCATTTATTTATACGATCCTTGTGACAAACGGGAGGGAACGCCGATCAATCGCCCCAACCTTTGAGGCACATATTTTTTGCGGTGGTTATGTGCGCGTGGCTTTGTGCGATATTTGCTGGCAGCTACAGATTTTGTAATGAACAAAAATAAATAATTAATAACGGTATTTACGAAGGTGGAAAGGATGAAGGGCGCGCATATTTTGGAATGTAGCAAAAGCTGCATGGAATAAATATCAAAAAAGAAAAATAATAATMATAACACAAAAACAACACAAACGCCTAAAATAGGGGGATTTTTAAAATTTAAGGTTCCCGTTAAAATTTAAAAATAGAATGACGTGAAATGCTAGTCAGTGAAAATTAAAAGTTAAAACTAAAAAAAATCACAAATTCGAAATTGAGCGCAATGAAATTATAACTGCTTATATTGTATACATATATATGTATGGCAATTGCCGTTAGTTATTAGCAGATGTCTAAGCAGACAGCGGCTTGAYTTATTGAAAAGGCGAATGCACTATGGAATTCGCATGCCAGTTATTAAAAAAAAAATTTAAAGGAAGAAAATGAAAGAAAAAATTTCCAAAAAATATCAAAATATGCAAAAAAGAAGTGTGTACAACGAGACTACGGTTTGTGCAACTTCGCTACTGAACCATGCAATCCATTATCCAAAATATATAGTTGGCATGTTTCAGCAGTGAATTTGTACCAAGCGAAGTCGGTAGCAGGGTTTTCACAATGCGTACGTTGGTCCTGCGTACAATCGTTATGTAAAGCAATCTTATTCTCGTGTTGTTGCTATTTGGCACGATCTGAAACGAATCCATGCAAATAACTGAGTGTAATCAGGCATATAAACGTACGGCGTCTCAGATGCGTGGCTAAAGTAGTGTAATGTATGTAACTATATGTGTACGTCTTGATAAATAAAATTTTAATGTTAGTCGAAGTTAAAAGAAAAGTGCCTTAAAATTAATTTTAATGATGTAAAGCGGAAAAATCTCACAAAACTGCAATGAGTTCATACACAATTAGTTTTATTTTATTTTTATTTATATTGCTTAATGCGCGCATTGTACAAATAGAYGCAGAAACCAAACACAAATTGAATATCACAAATGTCTCGTAGCTAAGATTAATGCGAATTAAAGCCAAGTTTTTTTTTTCATATATTTATACATTTTAAGTTAGTAATATGTTTTCATTAAATAAAAATCATTGAAGATGCTAATAAATTCCACAAAAATATTTTCAATGCGCTGGCAACACTTTTCGCATAGAATTGGCAGCGTTAAAAACTCGAAACTCTAACGAATTTACTCTTAATTTATTACTAATTTACTGTTCTTCATTACAATCAAACCTGCTTTAAAATAAAAGTTGCTTCAAAATAAAACTTACATCCTTAGGTGCWAATTTTCGTTCTCTCGTTGTTGCCATTTTTCCAAACTTTCTTCATTCGTCTACAATCAAGCACCAACTTCATAAATTTGTAAATACACCAACACCAACGCATGCTCAGTGCGGCAAAAATTAAGTCCTTATCAGTGGCTWAAACAAAAACGTTATGTTGCGTCGCTGTTTGTGCTTCACGCAAAGCGCTTTTGCCTTAACATTTACATTTATTTTAAACGCTAATCAATTTGGTGTTAACCACTCAATACGAGTATACCTGAACGATGCAATTTATATATATATATATATATATATTGTAGACGCATCTTATTGCCTTGTTAAGTGTAAAGCACGTAAGTGAATTGAATTTATAAAGCAAAAACAAAAACAAAAACAAAAAAATATTAAYATTACATTGTAGTTAATTGTAAAAAGATTCAACACACATGTAGAAACACCCATATTTTTAAAATAAAATTGTCTAGCGTATGTTTTTGCATGTTACAAAATACATACATACACATGAAAATGTTTACCATATACATACATACGTATTTGTGTAGCGAAAAGCAAATATATAATTTTAAAATTGTTTTGACTTTTTAAAAAGGATTAATTTCCACAAAAAAAAAACAAGTTTATGAAAAAATATTTTAATAAATTTATATCTTCCTTGATATACTCATATACAAGCGTTATTGTGTTTTAATTGGGATTATACGAATTTTGTATTGACAGGTTTTCAGCAGGTTGGAAATAACACTGGTCAATAATATTCTGGAGCACTGGTTATACATTGTGTCAAAGAGTTCASGGAAATTGTAATTAAATTCCTTGGGTAAATTTTATAAAATATTAAAAAAAAACTCATTTTACTAAGTTTGTAGGACTGTCTTTAATTACTATGCCAAATATGAGCGCGATCTGTTCACCAGTTTCTTTAGAACAGCTGCTTAAGACGGTACAGCTCAGTAGAGCTTTGCGATTTTTACAGTGGATAAAAATATCGAACCTAGAGGTTGTCTCAAATTCTGTTTTTTTAACCAAACTTCGTTTGCAGGATCGTTACGAATGTCAGAAAAGGCTTACGGTGATTCAGTCCGTTCGAATGCGCTGGTGTATATTTTTGGGTATGAAATGCGTTCTTGCATGATTCGTTCTGGTCAATTTGAAAACCAAAAAAACAAAAAAAGAAAAGAAAATGCCGTAGACAGGTCTCTTTTTGACACGCTTGATCGTGCGAACAGCAAACAAGAATCATCGGCATGGAAACCGTTTTCAGTCGATCGAAGAGGTAAAACAAAACTCGCTGAAGGAGCTGAAAGCCATCACCAAAAGTACTAATGAAAAGTGTTTGGAGGAGTGGAAAAAATAAATATTAATGAATAAATAATTATTGTTAGTTACATTTAAAATTTCCGAGTACTTTTTGACACAATGTATATATCATATTTTTGTTGCTTTTGTAAGTAGTATCTTGATGGAAGCATTCGCCTTATTCTTTTGCATAAGCTCGCGTATTATCTTTAAATTTAGCTAAACGAAATGTAACATGTGCATCTTTAAAGACATGCTACATTCGATAATGAAGCAATTGATAGTCATGTCAATTATCAGCTCGTCATAATTCATAACTACTATTTAAAAACTGCTGCACGCCCATTGCTAAGTAAATTCGCAAAAATATCATAATGAAAAAAAAAWWTTTTTTTATTTGAAGACTTAGAAGAAGATTGCAGCTTTTTTCAACTCTGAAAGTTTTGGAAAAAATTCTTAAAATGTTTGAAAGTTGATCAGCAGGTTTTCTCCAAATTATTGGCACTACAAAYTTCATTGCTCTTTTTTGCCACAATATCAGTCTCTAATAAAACTTTATATATTATAACTTAAATATGTTATCAAACTAGTTAATAATTATTGTAAAAAATGTTAAATAAACTCACCACCCATAATATATCTGCAAGAGCTACATGACTAATTTTTAACAGRTAGATTTCAGTAAGCGTGATATGCTTTATAAATCTTAAAATTTTTTACCTAAGACAAAGTTTTTATACTCTTACAACCTATTACTACATAATATAATAATATGTATTCATTCGCCTAACGGTTGTATATATAACCCAAAACTAAGCGATATAGATATATGGTTATATACATATACATATATAAATGATCAGGATGACTAGAAAAGTCCCATTTKTTGGTRTAATCCCATATCTCGGGACTAAACGATTTCGACAAAATTTAGTTCGTGATATTCTTCCTAGATTCTTATGTCACATTGTGCAAATGGACGAAATCGGACAACAACCACGCSTAYTTTCCATCTAAATTCCACTTGATTCGTTCAGTTTCCAGCACACAAATCAAGAAGCAATTGATATGATGGCATACAACTTTGCACGAATAATATCTTTAGTGTGTGCTAAAAATTGTTTAAATGCAATAAAATAGGTTGAATTGGACCAATGCTTCCTTAAGCCCCCATATAAAGATATATAAAGATTTTCGTGCTTCCGGGTAACTTTGTGCCGCATATATCAGTTAATATGTGAGTTATCCTAGTGAAAATAAGAGAGCGTGGTTTATTCATAACAGTGTACAAAGATACACTAAAATAAATTTGAGCGAAAACTTTACTCTATTTGATTGGTCTTATATCTAAAGTATTTCTCAAGAACTTAGCCCTTCTTACTTGTTCATAAATTTAATATTTTTTATATTTATAGATTTAGATTTTATAACTTATTATACAACTTTTAAAACAAAGAGCAGATCAAATAAATAAAGAAGTATTGAAAAAAGTTATGTTTTTTGTTTTGTGTTTTTTTGTTATGCTGCTAATTTTATGATTTGCACAAAATGTCGGCTAAATGGTCATCACGGCACCGTTTGTATGTCTTCAACCGTGTACGCCAGTATTTTGTCTGGAATTTTCGTAATAGTGAAAAGGTTTTGATTTAACATATCCCCAAAAAAAAAATTATCTAGAGGCGCATGATCTTCGCTGGGTAATTTCTCAATATTACTGAGTCGCTATCCTTTCATTGGGGGTGTTTTTTACGTGGTGGGTCCCAAACCCAGCGCACAACCCTATGTAGGGAATATTTCGCCTTCTCMCTTTAGCTCGCCTTCGAACGGATGTTCTTAGGCTACCCAGAGGATACTTGGTCAAAGACCGGAAGTCGTGAGCTGCTTGAGTCATATGTAAAAGAATCGTTTCTGGCCATTCCCAAGTGAATGGCGATCAGAGACTTTCCTCACTGGCGTGAACTTCTACACATGACCCCATCCTCCCGGGCAAATACTACTGAGTCGCTAAAATTTTGAAATAAAACGATGGAAAACTTTCCTGATTAGAGATGTTGCAATCCATGTTGTGGCCACCACTAACAGTGTTAGAGAAAAGGTGATCACCGAAGCTTTGAGTACCAAGACATTCCGTTTCAAAGTTATGAAAAACTATAGATGTTGCAATAAAATTGACTGAAATATTGTTGTATTCTATTTTTTAATTTATGTTTTATTCAATAACATTCGTACGAATATATGAGGGGTTGATATATATTACAAACTTAACTTAACATTTACTGTAATAAAACTACGTTTAGTTTACTTATAAACCTAGAAGTGAAGCACAAATAAGAATGAATTGGAAGAGAAAATTTATGGGGATTTTTGTATTATTGATGTAAGCCATTGGTTTTTGAATTCTTGTAAGGAAAATCTGTTGCGACTATTTTGGATGATTGAATGARAAGGCTAGTTGTCACTAATCAATATTAAATAATCGCTCACTTGTACTTGAATACCAGTGAAAAGGASACGAAAAATGCAGGGACGAGCAGTAGCTATATGCATTCTACTTAWCTAATTTATATAACAGGTATTGTTCATAATATACTTAGTAGCAGCCATTTACAATTATAACGGTTATAAAAATTATATTTATACTTATATGTAATATATATGTACTGGTATGTGTATGTATGTAGTATAGCTAATGGCTCACGCTTGGCTTCGTTCCCTATCTTAATTTAAGTACAAATTAGGAGCTCTATAGTATATATGCAAATGCATCTCTGTATTCGTAAAACTACAGTAAAGAGCAAGGCAATGAAACTAAAGAAGAGAATTGTCATTTATTTATT